GTCGGGGAAGGCGAAGCCCTGTGAAGGGACAAAAAGTGAAAGTGCCACGTCCTGGTAAGCTCCGGACAGAGTGACTGCTCGAGCTCAACTCAGCTATAGAAGGCATTGCACAGGCAAGCTGGAGAACGGACAGGTCCCAGTTGCTTGTCGTGGGCCACCAGAACCCTTTGAATAGTAGTAATAGTAGCAATAGTGGTAATAGTAATAGTAGTGGTGGTGGAGTGGTGGAGGTGGTGGTGGTAGTAGTAGTAGTAGTCGTAGTCGTAGTCGTCGTCGTCGTAGTAGTAGTAGTAGTAGTAGTAGAAGTAGAAGTAGAAGTAGAAGTAGAAGTAGAAATAGAAGTAGTAGTAGTAGTAGTAGTAGTAGTAGTCGTAGTAGTAGTAGTCGTCGTCGTCGTCGTCGATATGGGTTTGCTTCGATGGTGTTGCGGTGGCACTGTTTAGGGTTTGGGGTGTAGGGTCGGGCAAATGTCTAGCGCAGATTTCTTGATGAGTACTTTGTTGAGGCGCAGGTTCTCGCGGCTTCTTTTGCGTGTTGCGTTAGCGTGTCTAGCTGCAGTGTCAACCCTAAAACCCTGGTTCCTACCCGTAAGGCCGAAATCGGGTTGAAGATTCAGTTGCCTTGGTCGCCGCTGCTTTAGATCTGGTGCCCCGGGTCTACACCTCTCAGACTGCAGTCGCACTTAGCCGACGCATGGCAGAGCTCTCACATCCTTGTCCAGATCGCATAGCCCTGCCTTGCCTTACCGCAGCCTTCGTCGCGCCTGGCCATGGGAAGCTCCTTTGGGCACTGTCAGGACAGGATTCTGGCCCAATGATTCCAGAAGTCCTTTCAGCGTTATCATAAAGACAGGAACGATAATTACTATATAGTTATTGTGGAGGGGGAGGTATGGCGGACATGTGCTTATAAGCCTTAATAGTTCAGATGGTACTGCTAGGGCGAGGCTTGGGCTGGAGAAAGTGGGCTGGCCTCCTTTCGGTGGGGCACTGTGGGCAAAGTGGGTATTTCAAGTCCTCTTTCGGATGTCGAATTTTGACCTCACAGCGCTGAACTCACTTTTGGGAGCCTTAGTTGGCATGCAGACTTGTACGTAAACAGACAGGACCATTCGGGCTCGAAGCCGAAAACCTCAGAAAGTTTGGAGCCTAGAACATCCCAACACCCTAATACCAGCCACTATAGAAGTCAACGACGCCGAAGTGTGGAGAGGACCCCTGCTGTTTGCCGCAAAGCTCAGACCTCGGCATTTATGAAGTTCGGAGTGTGGTCTGCTTCTTGTGGAGTGGATGGTTACGCTGGGAGGGGCAACTCCCTGTCCTCGGTTCGACAACATGGGTGCCCAAGTCTTCAGAAACTGCCGAGCCCTGGACTAAATGATACTACATGCCAACTAGCCCAAAGAAATCTTCATATCTACCTTTTCAGCCCCATCTAGCCCTTCTCAAGGACCCGTATTTTTCTAGTCCCGAATTGCCAACTTTAGGGTCCTTCAGGTAATGCAGGATTTATATCATCAACAGTATTTCTCAACATCAGCCTTCCTATTAAAGCCCCTTCTATACTGTACTTTCTACTACTATAATTGTTATATAGTCTCTCTGGTCTAGCGGCCTAGCGGCTTTCTGGTGAATGGCCGGGAAGGTGCTGAAGCTCTCGTTGCATGTCCGCAGATTTCACCCCCGCAGGTTCGGAAAACACCCCGGAGGCGCCGCCAGAGGCGCGTGACACTGCTTTTCGGCTTAGGGTCTAACCAAAACATGTTTGAATAAAGAGCTATGATTTTGGAGGCACTTTTGGACACTGCTTTTCGGCTTAGGGCACTTTTGGAAGACGCACCGGAGGCGCCGCCAGAGGCGCGTGACATTGCTTTTCGGCTTAGGGTCTAACCAAAACATGTTTGAATAAAGAGCTATGATTTTGGAGGCACTTTTGGACACTGCTTTTCGGCTTAGGGCACTTTTGGAAGACACACCGGAGGCGCCGCCAGAGGCGCGT